AACTCATTTTACTTAAATCAAAAACTCATTAATTAGCTGCCGTCCCGCCATACTAAATGTATATAATTGAGACTATTTCATTTAACACATTAATCGCATCGTTGTGGTCAAGTCTTAATTAGATGACGCTATTTATGTGGTCATTGCTGATCATACAAGCATGGAAACATCTAATACACAATTAATGCAATCTATTTAATTTTGAGAGATGAGTTCGAGTTCTCCTTTTCTCTTATTTGTAAAGATTAATAAGATAAGGTGTATTTATTATATGGGTCCTTTTAATATTTTTTTATTAATTTGTACGAAAAATTATATAAATAAATTTTATTTTTAATTTTAATATTACATGAAATAATTTAATTAAATAGTTGATGAAAGGTAAAATTTTATGTTAAACTTACAAACTTACTCCAAATTTTTTATTATGTCTTTAAACTTTTATTAAAATAAATAAGTCCTTGAATTTAGTGATATAAGTAATTTAATTATTTTTTTACTACGAACTTAACACTAATTTGTGCTTTACTTGTGTAAATAATGTCAATACCCACCACACAAGCAATAACATGTCAATATTTTATCTATATAAGTAAGACACAAATAAGTATTAAATCAGTCGTAGAGAAAAGAAATTAAATTGTATAAATTACCAAATTTAAAAATTTATTTGTTTCAATAAAACTTCAAGAGCTTAATCAAGCATCTGAAGTAAGTTCAAGAGCATAATGTAAGGTTTTAGCTTGATAAAATTAAAGTTAACTTTTATTATTTTCATGTAAATTAATAGTGCAAATTATGCACCTTCACATCTTAGAAAATGGCTAGATGTGCAAATTTCTCCTTAAAATTGTCACCTTGAAACAAGTTATCATTTAAAGAAAATGTTGATCTAATTTATCAGTTCAAATTTTTATTTTCTAAAAAATTAGTTTAAATTTATTAGTTTTCATTAAATTTTGTTAAACAATAATAAAAAAGTTAACAATAACTATTAAATTTAAATTAATTTTTTAAAAATAAAATTTTAAAGTAATAAATTACGTTAATATTTTTTTAAGTAAATATTTATTTCAACACAATGATTTTAGGAAAAAATCTGTACTTTTTTGCCGTTAGAAAATTCCAATCAATAAATCAAATTAAGAGACTAATAGAATTAATACATGAACATGAATGTTTTGAGTAGGCCGGCCCCTTGGCCGGCACTTATATAGGCGACAAGAAAGAATACGAAACTATAAAATTAATCTTTTATTTATTTATTTTTAACGGTAACATTAGATAAAAGATTCAAATTCTAATGCACCTGATTCTTTGGATCATCTTAAAGGTAGAGTCCTCTTTCTCCTTGGTTAAATTTGAAGTTCAAATTCTAATTTTGTCATTTTATTCAAAAAAAAATAAAATAAAATTCAAACTCTTTAAGTGAGATATAATTTTAATGAAATATAAAGTTATTGGACGGCGAAATATGAACAGATAAACTTAAAAATTAAAAAGAAAATGCATAGCTGTCATGCGGAAACGATCCGTGCACCTTGCCTGCATGACAACGAAACATTTTTCTTTTTATTAATTGGATTTTGTTATCTTGTGCTTAAACTCTCTTTTTTGTCTATAAGTTTCAATAAAAAAAATTATCATCGTATTATTTAATTTATATTTTTATTAAAAACATATGACGTAATGAAAATAAAGTTAAAAGCGGCGCAGCCAATAAAGAAATGCCACGGTGCTGCAGTGGTGGTGCGGTGGAGGTGTCTCGTAGTCGTTTGTAGGCAGCCAAATTTTATGGGGTCCTTGAAATCATTAAGCATTTTGCTGGCCACGTGGTGTGGAGTGGTATCCCACCACGAGGTTGGTTTTGACGAAGGAAATGAGGAACCGCGTCCATTTCTCCTACTGTATACCGAACACCAACAAATCCCCTCTGCCTTTGCTCGTAATGTGAACGCTGTATTTTTGGCACATTACCCTTGGACTTCCCTCATCTCCACTTCACGCCCCAAAAATGGACTTCTTCTCATTTCCACTACACGTCCCAAAAATCAGACTCTCGTGGACTGTGTCCATCGGTCTAAGTTCACATTTCATGTGACTTCAAAATTAAGTGGATGAAGCTAAAATTGTTCACACTTCAAATAAACTATAAGATTTTTTAATCCGCATGTTAAAGGCACATGTTAAAGTTTGTTCATTATAATATATTTATAATTAATTTTACATAAATTTTTATATTAAATTTAATTAAAATAAAATATGACATGTAAAAATAATATAAAATATAATATTTAAGATTATAAAAAATAATATGTTATAGTAATTAAAATGTCAAATTCTTTTTATAAAATTATTTAATAATATACATTTTTATTCTTTTTTTTTTTTGAACAAGGGTAATTGAGATAAAAGAGATAAAGAGACTACTAATGTAACGGTTAGAACTCTAATATCTGTCAAAAATTTAGTGCATTTGAACCAATGCAGTCAAAGTTGTGGATGCATATGCATTTTTATTCTATACCAGTTAATTAGAATATGTAATATTTTAACACCAAACCTCTTGTGGGATTTCAATCGGGAATTCACCCTCGCTGCTCTTCTCACTAATATTGCTCTCCTGCACAAATTCAAGAAGCAACCAATCAATTCAAAATTTTCATGGAAATTACTCTTTCTAGTGACCCTAGAAATTAACTTTAATTTGTCAAACCTTATACCTTATTCCCCGGACGACGACAAAATAAGGATCGCATACAACTCCAACCAGCTCTACTCTGTAAGGTTTCCTGTTGGCTATATATCTCCCCATTTTCCTTCTCTTCTTGATCATCCTCCTCTACTTGTTCCCAATTGTTTTCCGTTATGGTGCCATCCTTAGCCACCTTGTACCCAACCTCCATTCGGTAACGCTCCCTATGAACGTTCCGTGCCATGGCGATTGTCTGCTCGACAAAAGGCTCCCATGACAAGGTACCGTCCATGATCACATCCCGGCCTTCATTTAGAGCAGTTACGAGCAAGGAGGATGCAGTTACGGACGTCCGTGGATGATTGATGTACCAATTCAGCAGTTGGAAGCATGTCATTGTGGTGTCCCCTGGAGCTGAGGGCTCTGTAGATAACGTCTGTTTCCTTGAATGCATCCGCCTCCACCACCACCGCGTTTGCTGCTGCTTCTCCTACTGTATACCTACCACCAACAAATCCCCTTGGCCTTTTCACCCTTTTGCTTTGCTCGTAATGTGAACGCTGTATTTTTGGCACATTACCCCTGGACTTCTTCTCATCTCCACTTCACGCCCCAAAAACGGACTGCTTCTCATTTCCACTACACGTCCCAAAAATGGACTTCTTCTTTCTCATTTCCACTACACGTCCCAAAAATCACTCTCGTGGACTGTGTGCATCAGTCTAAGTTCACATTTCATCGTGAATTCAAAACACTACAAGAAAATTTATATTAAGTGACTAAATTATTAGTTATTAAATTTTTATTTTTTGTCATAAATTAAAATTAGTGATGAATTTAAATCATTAGTAAAACTTTTGTCGTTAATATTTTTAATAATGAATTTGACATCTATCACAAAAAAAAAATTTTTATAGTGATAAAAAAAATCTACATTATTAATGAGTTATTTGTAACAAATTTAATCATCACAAAAAAATATTTTTTGTTACAATAATTTTCATCACAAATGTTACAATTGAGTAACAAAAAAATAGTCACAAATGCAATTATGATGGAAAATTTAGTCATTAATTATTAAAATTAATATTAAATAAAAAAAGTATTTATATTATTACAACATAAATATTGTAACAAAAATTTTGTCACAAAAAATTAATATATAAATTTATCACAAAAGTTTAATAAAAAATATTATTATTTCAATACTAATCAATTTTGATTAAAATTAATCAGACTCAAACTAATCTCAAGTTTTATTGAGCTTCATATGTTTTATAGTGCAAAAATTTATTTTCTTAAATATCTCTCATCGATGTGGGATATATTTATAATCAAAAATCTTATTCTCTTATGTGTTTTTTTATCGATATGGAATGCATTGATTAGAGAAAATTGACAATTTTTAGTGATAAAATATATTTTTAGTGATGAATTATTTGGTCATCATTGAATGTAGAAGGTATATATGACCAATATTAGAATTCTGTCATAATTGTAATGAATTATAGTGACGATTTTTATTGACAAAAGCCTATTTTATCTCTAAGAACATTTTTCAGTGATGAAATATTTCTTTGTGATGAATTTTTTTCTTCATCATTAAATATGTATGCATCTGTGATTAATTTTTTAAATCTGTCACAATTGTAATAAATTATAATAATGATTTCAAATTTATCATAAATTTTTGTCACTAAAAACCATTTTTCTTGTAGTGAACTTATGTGAATGAAACTAAAATTGTTCACACTTCAAATAAACTACAAGATTTTTTAATCCGCATATTAAAGGTACATGTTAAAGTTTGTTCATTATAATATATTTATAATTAATTTTACATAAATTTTTATATTAAATTTAATTAAAATAAAATATAACATGTAAAAATAATATAACATATAATATTTAAGATTATAAAAAAATAAGATGTTATTGTGATTAAAATGTCAAAAATTTTTATACAATTATTTAATAATATGCACTTCTATTCTGTGTCAGTTAATTAGAAGGAAAATGTTTGGTACACCATTTGGTTTGATAATTGGTTCAACACTTTTTGGTTTAATCATTAAAAATATAATATAAATACACTCAATTCAGTCGATTCTTATATTCTGTGCGCATGATTATATCACGATATTTGTCTGTTTTTAATTTCAGACTTAAAAATATTGATTTTTTAATGACTAAACCGGAGGTGTTGAACCGGGTGTTAAAATATAAGGTGTACCAATTATTGTTTTAATTAAAATATGTAATATTTTATATATTCACTCATTTAATAATATGTAAAAATTATATAAAAATTTAATAATATATAAAAATTATATAAAAATGTCTTAAAATAAACTTTGTGCATATCATTACTCACTCCTGATCTTGCTACATTCTCTGTTTTGCCAAATGGAATTAATTAGGAGGCCAGACTAAGGATGATATTTTCCTCCATAACCTACAAAGTTTTGTGAGAATTTCATTACAAGGACAGAGATTCTCAAAATATTCCTCATCGTTAGGTGGGAATGAAGGTGATTTTTTCCTCGTAAAATTTTACAAGAAATTTTCCCCACTTGTGAATAAAGGGACAAATGTTAAGAGAGTTTTTTCTTTATGAAACTCGATTATGAATTAGTTAAACTTTGTGCATATCATTACTCACTCCTGATCTTGCTACATTCTCTGTTTTGCCAAATGGAATTAATTAGGAGGCCAAACTAAGGATGATATTTTCCTCCATGACCTACAGAGTTTTGTGAGAATTTCATTACAAGGATAGAGATTCTCAAAATATTCCTCATCGTTAGGTGGGAATGAAGTTGATGTTTTCCTCGTAAAATTTTACAAGAAATTTTCCTCACTTGTGAATAAAGAGACAAATGTTAAGAGAGTTTTTTTTTTATGGAATTCGATTATGAATTGGTTAAATTTTAATGTAACTTTCATATATTAAAGGATTTAATAAAAAAAGATTAAAAAAAAAAAAAACACTTTAACCCTCACATCTTCCCTCTCTACTACTTTAGTTCCACTCGACTCCAGCTCTTTAAATGTGGATTTTCTTGTAGTGTTTATTTAATAGGTTTCTTTTAATTTGTATTTAGTTTTTTTTTTTTAAGGCAGAATTTACTTTATCTTGTTCAAATTGAATCCTTTTTTAAGGAAAAGAAAACCTTGGGGATGGAGGGCATTTTTCACCTGAATGATGCTGGTCATGTGGACAAAAGGCCGAGCGGACGTGGCAATGATTCTTGGTTTTGAGAAAGGGCGTGACTAATTCAAAAGCTCTCAAGTTTGTAGGACCATCACTTTTAATTCCCTATATTTCAAAGACATCATTTAAGTCCTTAACATCAAATGAGATTATTTTAATTAGGGCATTAGGGTTTAGTGATTGTAATGTAAGGGACTAGATTATATTTTTAGGGTTCAAGATTCAAGGTTTAAGGTGTTTGGATTTAAATTTTTTAAGGTTTAGATTTTAAAATTCAATTTTTAGAATATTAGTTAAGGTTTAGATTTTTTAGGGTTCAATATTTAGGGTGTTAGGGTTTAGTATTT